AAAACATTGGTAGAAAAGCATATTGGCAAGTAGGTAAAATGTCTACGCACTGTTAATGGGCTAGAGCTTTGTTCAGATGAATTCAATAGCTTTTGCAAGGCTGAAGGCATCTTGTGACACTTGACAATGCCTGAAACTCCTTAATAGAACGGCATGGCTGAACGGATGAATAGAACTTTAATGAAAAAGGTTCGTTATATGCTTGCAATATCTGGGTTGCCCAAGTCTTTTTGGGCTAAAGCTGCTACTACAACATGTTTCCTAATCAATTGCTTACCTTCAACGGCCATTGAAAATAAAACACCAGAAGAGGTATGGTATGGTAAACCCTCTTTTGACACTGATTTGTATATCTTTGGTTGTCCTGCATAAGCTCATGTGAATAATGGGAAATTGGAGCTTAGGTCTAGAAAGTGTATCGTTCTTAAGTATAAATCAGGAGTGAATGGTTATAAGTTGTGGTGTCCAGAAAAGAAGAAAGTGGTGATTAGTAGGGATATAGTATTTGACGAACTTGCTATGATTCGTGGAAGACCTCTTACGAATTCTGATAAAACTGGAGAACATAGTCATTAAACTCAGGTAGAGTTTGAAATTGGTCCCGGGGAATAGTCAAAGGTTACAGAGTAGTCTGGTTCGGAGGAGATAGGTAGTAATACTTTGCCTACACCACCACTAGCACAACAGTATTCGATTGCAAAGGATAGGCCTCGCAGACTGATTAAATCTCCACAGAACACAAAGGTATGGAGAGGCAGATTTGGTTGCTTATGCTTTGAATGTGGCTAAAGATATTGATTCCATTGAAGAACCTGCTACATATTCAGAGGCAATCAGTTGCAGTGATTTTGGAAAATGGTTGATTACAATGCAGGAGGAGATGGAGTCTTTGAACTAAAATAGTACCTAGGACTTAGTGAAATTGCCCAAGGACAAAAGGGTTGTTCGTAATAAGTAGGTGTTCAAAAAGAAAGAAGGGATATCAGAGATTGAAGATACCAAGTTTTTTAAGGCTAGGTTGGTAGCAAAGGGTTATAGTCAGATTCCAGGTGTTGACTTCACGATGTGTTCTCGTCAGTTATAAAGCAAAGTTCAATTCGGGCTTTACTTGAGAATGTGGCAAAAAATGATTTGAAGCTTGAACATATGGATGTCAAAACAACATTCTTGCATGGAGAACTTTAGGAGAATACCTACATATGGTAGCAAGAAGAGTTTATAGTTTCTGTAAAGAAAAATTTTGTGTACTTGTTAAAGGAGTCCTTATACGAACTTAAGCAGCCGTCGAGGCAATGGTATAAGCGGTTTGATTCTTTCATGACTACTCATGGTTTTGAAAGGTGTAATTATGATAGTTTTGTGTACTTTAGGAAAGAAAGTAGTAGATCGGTTACATACTTGTTATTGTATGATGATGATATGCTTATAGCAGCCAAAGACAAAGCAAAGGTTAGAAAGTGAAGTCTCAGCTGAGTAAAGAGTTCAAGATGAAGGACTTGGGAGCAACAAAGAAAATCCTTGGAATGGAAATCTTGGGGGACAGGCTGGCAGATTGTACTTGAGTCAGAAATGATACATTGAGAAAGTACTTCAGAGATTAAATATACAAAACGCAAAGGCTGTCAATACACCCTTGGCTGCACATTTTAGATTATTAGTAGACTTGTGTTGGCAATCAAATGAAGACATTAGGTATATGACTAGAGTTCCTTATTTCAATGCAGTTGGTTCGCTGATGTATACTATGGTTTGTATAAGACCTGATTTGGCACGTACAGTTAGTGTAGTTAGCAGATATAAGGTAAATCCTGGAAAGGAACATTGGAAAGTAGTGCAGTGAATCATCAGATACTTGAAAGGCTCTACAAATGCTTGTCTGCATTTTGAAAGAAATTTAGAAGGAGTCATAGGATATGTGGATTCAGACTATGCAGTGAATCTCGACAAAAGGGGATCACTCACAGGGTTTGTGTTTACCCTTGGAGGCTGTGTTATCAGCTAGAAAGCTATTTTGCAAAATATAGTAGCTTTGTCTATAACAGAGGCAGAGTACATGACCATTACAAAGGTATGTAAAGAGGCTATGTGGTTGAGAGGATTAATTGGTGAAATCAGTAAAGACTTGCAGATATCTACAATCTAATGTGATAGCCAAAGTGTTATATTTCTAACTAAGGATCATATTTTCCATGAGAGGACTAAGCACATTGATATGAGATACCATTTTGTACGTGAAGTAATTGTTAGTGGTGAAATTGTAGTGAGCAAGGTTGATACCAAGGAGAATCCTGCTGATATGGTGATAAAACCACTTCCCATTGCTAAGTTTGAATATTTCTTGAACTTGGTAGGTGTTTGTCATTGATTTAGCCCATTGGGTCTTGGAAGAGATAGAGTGGCGTTTACTTGGAGATATGTATTTGGAATTCCTTGTGTTGGAATTTGGCTAAAAGTGGAGATTTGTTATAGTGTGGCCCAAATTCTTGAGGTTTTAAGAGTAGTAGTTGGGTTGATCTTGGAAAAATCAACTTATGGATCGGGACAAATTATTGCCGCATTTTCACTAGCTTTTCGCTAACTAAACGCTCAAGCGTATGGAGCAGAACAATCATCGCCTGCTTCTCTCCTGCCTATCGCTCAACGTCGCTTGAGCAATGTATCTTCCGGGCTTTTTCGTGTTTTAACGCGTTTTGTACTCCTATTAGTCTACAACTAAGGTTTATGGGCGTCTCTGTAAATACAAAACATCGTCTTTTGTAATATATATAAGAGTTTTCATGATTTTTGAGAAAAAAACAAAAATTCTTGAGAAAACAAATTTACGACATCTTGTGAGCTTAGATTCAATTGAGAATATTGAGTCTTGATATTTTAAATACATTCTTATTGATTATATTGGATTTTCTCCTCCTTTGCCCATGGCTTTTTCCTGAATTGGGTTTCCACATAAATCTGTGTTATTTACTTTTCTGCTTACTTCATTATTATCATCTCTTACGATCCGTATTCAAAACAAGTATTCATTGCACTTTGCATAAGTACAAGGCATTTCAATAGAATGAAGATGATCATTAGGTTGAAACTCCCATCTACCTCAAACAAAGAAAAACCATCTTTTCAAGAAGGTACTTGGGCAAGGGAAATTATCAAATCTGGACAAGCTATGGGAAAAAGATTAAACCATCTGAGGATTCGCAATATTCCCTAATGGCGTAGAACAATATGCCAAACTAAAATATATCCAAAGAACGCTCCCATGGTAGGCCTATAGAACCCCATAGTAAAAAAGACCCAAACAATTGAGTCCACCAACTCGGAAGAAGTTGAGAGGGGGCCATATTTAAGGAAAAATGAGTTTCCCCAGAAAATGGGTGAAAGGGACTTTGAGTCCCATATTCAATGAATGTCTGAGACTGGCTATGCAGCTTGGGGAAGGGCGATCTACCATTTGAAACGAAATGGCCTAGGACATAAAAGTTCTATATCACTAGGAATGTTGAAATGGATCCTATTTCAGCCAGGTCTTGTTCAGAGAAATTTCTAAAAATTCTTGAAGCCTAAAAAATGCTTCTAGCATTTTCATCAAAATCAACAAGCACATTGGAGGTTTCACCTGCTACATTATGCGTCCCACCTCAAAGTCGAAAACTCCCTGCTTTACCTAAAAGTTATTGGGTTAACACATATACCAGATTGAGTTACAGCTCTACAGGAGAGCACATCATAATATAAAATTTCCACGGAAGAAGAAACGTTTGCTAGAATTATCACATCTAGAATTAGAACTCCTAGAATTAGAACCACTAGACGCACTCTGAAAGTCAGTTTAGGAAGACGTTGCAAAAAAGATGTTGAACAAGAAGAAAGAAATAGGAAGCACAAAGATGAAAAATTGCTTGAGAAAAATGGACGGCAAAATGATGATGACCATGCTAAATAATGACATATTTATAGATTCTGATGGGAGATGTTAGTAGTTAAAAACATCTCAATAATAATCATAACCATTGAAAATGACTGGACACTTGTTCGAATATCAAGATAAAATGATTAAGTCATGCGCAATCCACGTGCACCTAAAGGAGTTTTGGACCACCAACCAGGGAAAACACAAATAAAGCCCATCTGAGTTCATAAAATGGTTAAGGTTGCCAACATGTTTCCCATATTCCCTTGGCGACAAAGAGACGAGCAAGGTGAAGCAAAGAACCCTGAATAGCTCCACCAATCGTAATATATACAGAATAAAATCATAGATTTATGCCTTGTTTGACCCACATTATCTCAAAAAATACATTCTTAAACAGTTATTTGACATCATTTTAACCACATATTATTCATCAAAATAATATTATACGTAAATACAAAACTTATATTTATTTTTTAACCACACATTTTCTGTCAATACACTATTCAAAAATACATTTTTATGGAAATAGTGTAGCTCAAACAAGGGTTTAATATAAATAAAATCGAACTTGGGGGAATATTTGTTAACCCTCGAAATGCAGTCAGTGAATCTACCGGTTGTTGGGGAGGCATAAAGTGATACGAGAGAAACGAAGAAACAAAGGGCTCGCTCAAAGACTATGAACTATTTTCTATATATATATATAACGAAGACTAATTGACATGATAAAAATATTAGAGAAGAGAAATTATGAAGGATTTGCAAGTTCTTCTACATAATTCACGACAAAAGCTCTTTTCTCGAAGTTGAATTCTAGATGGTCTGGTATGTTAACTGTTGTTCAAGTAAAAGTTAAGGTTAATTAGATGGGTTGTTCCGTGATTTTCAACTAATGTATTTGACATGAGTTGATGTGAATTTCTCAGAAATTGTTAATTTTAAGAGTATAAGAATGTCTCATCTCACATAATATAAGATTGAAAGTTAAATAATAATTGCATTTCATGTGAAAGGTCAAGTGCAAGTTTGACAAGGAAATCCATGAAACAAAAAATGAGTTAAAGTTATATTGATAATAATTGTTCGATCAAAAGTTTCCATTACAAGTAGTTCCAATCCTTTGTGACTCAGTGAACATCTTTCCAACTTGTATTTTCCTTTTCCAAGACTTTTCTTTTCCTTTGGAAAAGTAATAATACAAGAAATGAGCAAATTAACTAGGATAATACATTCTTAGTAGACAACTAGGATCAACTATGTAAAAATTAGATGTAGCAACCCTCTTAGTATCTCACTTCAAATATTGTTCATGTCTAGAGGGGTTCCAAACCCAAAAAGCTTTCATCCAAAAAGAATTGTGAATCCTCGTCTTGCTGGTATTGAGGGGAGTTTTCTTGATTCTGTAACATTTTTTGGCAGATGAATTCCACCAAATTGGCATTTTGATATTGCATGTTTAAAATTTCTGCCTGTGATTTTGCCAATTCTGCTTGCAGCTCAATGATTTGCTTCTGAAGTTGGAAAATTGCGCCGGCACAACCGTAAACTGGATCCCTAAGCCTGGCATTGGCATCGTAAACCATACTATTTACAGCATCTGATCTTTGAGCTTCAGGAAGTTCCTGCAATATATATATGTCAGGTACTAATGAACATAAATAGAATAATTTCCCCTAAAAAGGATTTTAGCCCGTTGGGTTCCCATATCTTAAAACTCGTTTTTGCCAAACTCATTTTTAATCACACATTTTATGAGACTCATAATTTTGATCAATTTTTTAACTACATAGTTCATTATCTTTTATCAAAATATACTTAAACATTGATTTTTAACGAAACCAAACAGGGGCATAACATGTAAGTGAGTCAATTCTTGTTAGCAAATAGGAAGTCTCCATTACTTTAAAGGTCAATATCATTTGTAGTGCACTATATTGATGACTTTCTATTTGTTATCAAGTGAAATGTGTGGTTAAAAGAAGGAAAAATTTTGAATTTACATGTAATATTATTTTATTTAAAAAAAATGTTGTTGAAAAGAAGAATGAAAAAAAATGAATTAAAATTAAAATAGAGCCCAAACATGTGCTAAATATTAACAATTTAGCGAGGGATGGACAAAAAAAAAAAAGTTAAATGGGAACAACAAATCTCGATAGAGGCAGTGAGTGAAGAGAGTTGATTTATGGTTATGCACAGAAAATATAGTCTGTTATAATTAGCTGCCTACTCCATTGACAATTGAATCTATAACTTTCAGTTGTGGAACCTACTACAAGTGTGATCAAGTACCACTTTATAACATAGGAGGCAAATTTCTAGTCAAAAGAAGAAGAACTAGTGAGAATTATCAACTGCTACCGACTTTGTAAAAGATGTAGAAAAACTTATTAGTGGATTAGAAAGAAAGACATTGGCTTTTGGGTTTGGATTGAAATGGAATCTCAGAAAACTTGGCCGGTGTATTAAACTCTCTTAATGCAAATCTAGATTATTTGTACAGACAAACTTTTGGACATTTTGGATGACAAGATCAAAAGTCCAGAGGCAAACCACTAAGATTGTACGTTAAGGTCAAAACAATCACTAAGTAGAAAAGAAAGTGAAAAGAGCATTCCTAAGTAGAAAAGAAAGTGAAAAGAGCATTCCCTTTCCAATTCCAAAGCCAAGAGGAGCTGTATTCTTTGGTTGATAGTGTAGTGGTGGAGCCATCTTCTGATATATCTTCAATACTGTTTATCAATTTCTATTTAGATGACGTGATTATTGACAAGAACTTATTGAATTTTATCGTTTTGACTCGTAATAAATAAACAACCATTTAAAAATACCTGCAACAACTTGATTATGTTGCTGGCGCCGAAAACTCTCTGCGCAATGGTGAATTTGAGCTGCTCCGACGGCGGAAAATAAGGTGCCAATACACATTTATCGACACATCTCCTGCGGAGGATTTTGCATGCAGCACAAGGACTAAATGAAACAGCTCGTGGTGGAAAAGATGAAAAAGATCCAGTCGGAGATGATATAGGAGAGAGTGAGGAGTTAGAAGCTGCTGCTGTCACTGCAGCGGCGGTGGCGCTGGTCGTGGTGATGCTGGGATTTTCCCTGCATTCCATGTTGATACGCGCTGTGTTCGGGTTTTGGTCTGGTTGTACTCTACTTGATGGGGGCAGAAAGGACGAATTTATAGGGAAGTGGAGAAACCGTCAAGAGGTTTACAGCTAGTAAATTGTCAGTCAGCTCATGGCGTCAACGTTGTTGCGTCATAAATGCGTGGGTAGACGTATTGCAAGGGACAAAGGTTAATTTATAACCTTTTCGTGATAGTGTCCAACTTTTATTTTTTTTATAGGGGCCTTTTCAAAAAGATATTTTTACTACCTTTATTTAAAAATACATCTAATAAAATAAAAATCACTCGAAAAATCATTCAAATTAGTAAATAAAATAAAATAAAAAGTTTCAAACTTAATTTTATTTTTTTCAAAAAACAACTAATAAGGTCTCAGTCCAATTTGATTTTTGGTACAAATTGTAGGAAACAATCATGCTGTAATTAAAGTTATGCTACACTTACAAAAGAGGTTGACAAAGTTGGATGACAAAATCATGTTCACACCAATTATTTCAAAAATAAATTTTTAAATCATTTGAAATCAATAGCCTGAAAATTTGTGGCAAAGCGGGATCACTAATGCTCTCCCTAGTAATGTTTTGAACCAACTCAGAGCCCAACCCAGGAGGTACTTACCAAACTGAATTTTCACCACGATACTAAATTGTCCAAATGTCTTCTAACCGGTTCTGCGCTTCCCTGAAAAATGTACAATTGAGATCTTCTTCATCCCTCCAGTACAACCCGGACTCCCTTTCAGACCTTCAAGACTCTATTTCCTCCAGAGAATTTATACCCTTTTAAATCCAGAATACTTAGTGAAATGAAATTTATTTTCAAGTCAGGAACATGTTGAACCTAATCAATTATTCTAAATGTTTCATCCCGCATCTTCAATCTGACTCGACCGATCCCAGCAATACGGCAAGATTAGTTGTTTCCCATTACAACTCCACATTGCTGAACAGTCTCATATGTCTAAAATAAATTCCTATAAGAAGACATATGGTGCGAACATGCTGAATCAAGAATCCACTCCTCATCAGGCCTAAATTCCACATCAGATACCACGGTCAACATCACCTCTTCGCCATCAGAACAATTCTCAACTATATTGGTTTCGTCTGAATTCAAAGGCTGCACCTCACGATTTGTAGCTAAATCACCTTTAGCCTGCAACATATCGCAATCCTTCCCAATATGTCCCTTCCTTTTGTAGTAGTAACAGGTCACATTGCTAAATCTAACTCTCGATCTGCCTTTTCATCGACCACCTTGAGATACAAGAGCTTCCCCATCCCTTGATGTAGCTCCAACCAAATGTTTTTCTCTTTTGAATGCAAAGTATCATAGACATCTTCTATAATCAAAATATCTCGACTATACAAGATAGTATTTTGAAACAACGCATAAGATGCAAGTAGCGAACAGAACAGGATCAAGGCAAGATCCTCTTTATCGTATTTAACCTCCAACGTCTCTAGATCTGTAACTATTTCCTTGAACATGACAATGTGATCTTTCAACAATCCTCCTTCCGCCATGCGATGGGAATAGAACTTCTGCTTAAGAGCCAGTTTACTAGTAAGACTTTTAGTCATACATAACTGCTCTAGTCTCAATCACAAAGCAGCAGCCGTCTTCTCCTTTAAGACATCCTGCAGAATATTGTTGAATAAAAGAAGATAAATCAATGACACGGCCTTCCGGTCCTTCCGTTATTTCTTCTCCATTGTCCAATTAGCTGGCATCTTCTCAAAACCTAGCAACACATCGTCCAAATCCAACTGCGTCAGAACAACCTTCATCTTCACTTGCCATAAAGAAAATCCTGTATTGCGATCTAGTCGCGGAATATCATATTTCAACCATAGCCATTCCGAAAAAATCACAACCAATTTACGAAAGAAACCAAGCTCTGATACCACTTGTTTTGTGCGGAAGCTCCAAAAACACAAGTTGATTCCAATGAATTTTGAAGAACGAGATTATAATGACAATTATGATGTAAACCAGATCACGCGACGAAAAACAAGATTAAATTTGTAAAAGAGGAACAAAGAAAATTAATACAGAGGAAACGATGTTTTTATTGAATAATATGGAGAATACAAGCTTATTTGGTTTATTGTTACAATTAAAACTGAAAAGAGGCGCCTCTAATTTATAGACCACGACCAAAAACCTGGTGAAGTCATAAAAGGTAAGCAAACCTAGTCCAATTAGGAGAAAACGCGTAAAACGAGAAAAATCCGCATGACGCCAAAAAACGAACCATGCGGATTCTGATTCCTTCTCTTTCATGGTTCCACTTTGATTCTTTTTCAAATCAAAGGCAAACACGTCAATACAAGAATTTTAACTTAATTAGAGTCATTAAACTCAACAATTGCAATACTAGAAACTTGCATTGCTTTCATGGTACACCCTAATATCCACAATCACTGTCTTTTCCTCAATATAATTTTCTTGAACATCCTCATCGACCTCAAGGCTAAAATAGGCTTGTTACTAGCCTGAATCAATATCACAAATCATGATTGAAGGGAGCAAAAATTTTATCATCACATTCGTGGTCCACTGTTATGACTCTACGTTCATCCGACCATCTTGGTAGAATCATCATTTTGCTGCTTCAACGCCTACCTTTATGAATACAGTTGTTCCATCTCTATCAGTTTTTCTAACATCATCACTTGAAGATACAATTTTGTTAACTCATCATGTCGCGTGATTTTTGCTATTTAGGTTTCATGGACATCAAATTATTTTTGTGAGGAACGTGTACTCTTATACATAATTGATAAAGTGGAATAAATGCGGAAGATGATTAACACACCCCAAACACTCATTGATTGAATCGAATAATGAGAATCTGGCCATCCAATATTTATTGATTTACTAAGTATATAGAGTAATTGAAAGTATTGGAAAACTCTCAAATTTTCATTAATGTATAACCAAGTTGAAATGAACCTTAATTCTAGCTTTTAAAAGAAATTAATAAGCAATAACTTATTATTCTAAATAAATAAATAAATAAAGGGCTCTCCGAAAGTCAGCTTAGTGGCTCGTCCCAATATAGAAAAGTGATATTATGTATATCAAATTCTAACATGTTGATTGGATCAACATATCAAATACACATACACACACACACACACACAATAAAGACGGAAACTTTTGTTGTGAAAAGCTCTTTTGACAACCCTTCTTTCAACCAACAACTAAAATAAATCCTTTTAGGATAAAATTTTTTTGTCATTAAAAGTGAGATTTCTTGAAGTCATTTCCCCTTACTCTATCCACTCATATCGACTATCATGCAGATTTATAGCAAAGAGTAAAGTGTAGGACTACAATTGATGAGTAATAGTATTCATCTACAACGAGGATAAACGGATTAGCCTTTAGTTTCTGGCGTAAAAAGTTATGGTTGTTGTTTCATTAAAAAAAAATAAAAATAAAAAAATTAGTCCTGAAGAAACTTTCAAAATATAAGTATCTAGTAGGACGAACAATAAAATATTTTGCCAATGGATTCAGTTTTCTCAGGTTGATATTTGATAAAGAATTGATTAATGTATTTTCCTCGAATGTGGATTTTCACTTCTTAAGTTTGATTAGTGCTAGGTGTTTTGATCAAACAAAAACTCAAAAGTAAAAGGAAAAAAAATAAATTAATTTCAAAAACGGCTTTAAAACTGGTCAATATGTAAAAATGTATCAATTTCTAAACTCTACACTGAGAATAAATTTAAATTTAGTAATACATGTATATTATCTTTAGAGTCTCGTTGTACAAAATAATTTTGAGTGTTCCATACATCATTAACATTTTAAAATTTTTTCTCACCCTAAAATTGAATTTTAGTTTGAACTCTCGTACATTGTTGCATTTAAAGTTAAAATAAAACAGAAAAGATAAAATTCAAGATGTAGCAATCGAAGCAGGTAAGAGTGAATTAGATAACATAATATTATACTAATAAAGCCAATATCTTAAAAGTTTTGAACAAATATCAATTGGGTAATTGGCACGAAACGTCCCTACCTTTCAGCTTCATTGTGGAAAACGTCCCCACCTTTCATTTTTTGGCATTTTTGCCCTCAAATCAACCTTTCGTTGCGATGAAGGTCTTTCTGTCCAAGTTCCATCAATTTTGCCGTTAATTAAAGAGAGAGAACCAATTTGTCCAGTCAGCAAGGGTAAAATCGTCTCAGCCATTGAACCCCTTATTCCCGCCTTCTACGTAGTTCATATATATAACAGTAGTTGGAAAATGGGTGTGAAAATACTTTAAATTATTACATTAAATAAGGGAAAAATGTCGTTAATTAAAGAGCATAATTAGTGGTGAAATCTGACCATCGCTACTACTTTTATGTTGGGTTTCTGGAAAAATGTAGTAAGATATATATTGAATGGGTGATCAATTTATAGAGATGACTGCTAGATGTTTATTTCTAGTTTATGCTTATTTTGACTACGAGGTAAATTGAGGAGATTGAGTGGAAATGGGTACTGTAAAGTATGTATCGGTTCTATGTATCAGTTCAATGGTGAATGACCCATTTTGGCTTATTGGTGAAGATGAACGGTCCTGTTCACTTCTTCTGGGAATCGAATGAACCTTGCGCTACTAATCTCTACGTAGTTATAATTTTGGCTTAAAACATCCCTACCTATAAAAAGTTTGGCGAGTAAAGTCCCTACCTTTTAGAAATATTTGCTAATAAAGTCCCTACCTTTTAGAAATATTTGCAAATAACGTCCCTAACTTTTAGAAAAAATTTGGCGAGAGAATTCTCTGTTTTCTTCCATATACCACCTATTGATACACACAAACTCAAAAGTCCCTAAATACACAATTTTATCACAGAATCTGAGACACAATTTATCCACCAATCAATCGAAAATTGAAAAAAAAATATATACTACCTATTGAAGCAAAAATAACCGAAAACTGAAGCAAAAATAGATACAATTCATTTCAAATGGGCAAAATAATTGTATCTCA